TCTGGTATTATGACCATAAACTAAAAAAAAATAAATAAATGAATAAATAAACTTTGTTCCCCGTCCACCTCTGCTGCAGAGTTTCTGGTTTTGCTTGGCATTTGAAGCACACAGATAATAAAACCACTTCTGTTTTGTTGACAGAAATGGCTGGAAAGTTGGCAAAAAATCAGAATGAAAATTGAAGGAAAGTTGTGCACRAAGCCATGCTCTTATCTTACTAAATAATTGTCAGATCTAAAAAGAAAAAGGTCAGATGTGCTGTGCTCCTTTTGCTCAGTCATTGCGTAAGAAATCAAACAGACACTCATTAACTACATATTAGTGCCGGGCGGTATACCGTTTTGTACCGAATACCGGTTTTTATTTTTGTAATGATATGAATTTTCTGAATACCGGACATACCGGTTTAAATAGTGGAACGTTTTGTCGCGGCCGCCAGTGAACTGTTGTTTCCCGGGGGACATTTTTCCTTGCTGCACCGTTATGTGCGTTAGCATGCTAATGTTTGGCGCAGCTAGTTGCAGCCGCAGATGGCGATTCCGCTGATTATATTGACTGACGTTTAAAAAAACATCCTATTTTCGACTTCGCTGAATATAGTAAACACCTCTTCAGTGACGTGCACAGTTAGATTTAACGCGGTTAGTTAATATGGAGACTTAACGTGGTTCTATTGTGAAAAGCTTGCAGGAAGTAGTTCGTAGTGAAGTTGGAATTGACTGGTGTGCAAGGTGAGTCGTGCTGATAAGCTTTAATAAATAACATAAAATAAACCCGATCATAATCTTTTCTTAACCCTCCTCCTTCACGACTGGACCAAAATGCATGACTACTGTCTCCAACCACCAGTCAGAGAAGAACAGACACAGAGGAGGGAAACGGCGACAGACAGAGGTACAGTAAAAGAAAAAAGTCAATAAGCAAGGTTTGTACATTTTATTATCAGCTGAGCTGTGATGAAAAGAAAAATACCGTCAAATACCGTGAAACCGGTGAAAATGTTGAAAATACTGTGATATAAAATTTTGATCATATTGCCCAGCTCTACTACATATATTATTTTCTGAGTGCATTGCTGCAGCTTGACTTTGCTGCCAAATTGAAAATGAGACCAAGCTTGAGTGTATATCTGACATTAAAACTCWGGACATTTTACAGGCACTTCCTGTTTAACAGTAAAGATCTGAGGAGACTGTCACTTCATGGGCTTGTTGATAGTCACCAGAAGCCCCACCTATGAGTTGATGCTGTATGTCTGGCTTCATATAGATAAGAAATACTCAATAATGTTCCTCCAGCATGATATCCCAGCACCGAGGTCCATTAATGTTGAGAGCACTGTCCCTGAAAGGATCACAGCAATATAACACTTATCTAAAGCTTCGTTAATTCATGGGGCGACAGGTTTGGTCACTTGTTGAAATTGCCCGTCTAGATATCTAATAGTTTGCCCCAATTTGGGCTCAGAAGACCATGTCACACATTTATTAAGACCGAACAGTCTGTTCTCTGCAGCGGGCGCTCTTAAAAATTATTTCTGCTTGTTTTAAATTGAAGAAACTTAGACGAGAAAGGGGGGAAAAGAGCCAATCTGGTTATCTCAGCGCTTCTCGGGCGTAACTAATCACCGAGCTCAGTCAGTCTTTAAATTCTGTGTCCTGAGAAGTAAATTTTTTTCCTTTTCGTTTAATGTCTTTTTCTAAAACTTTTTTTTTTTCTACGATAAACCCCAAAGTTAATCTCATAAAGTGTTCTTTTCTCTGGCAAATGGGCACAATCAAAGCACTCGGATATAATTCATCAGGACTGAAAATTAAATAAAAGTAATTGTGTGTGCAAAAAGTCAGAAAAGTTTTTTTTAAAGACATGCTCATTGATTAGATGTTTTGATCGAGGACATGTTTGATGTGCAGTTTGAGAGTTACTGCTGTATTAATGCCTCTTTTAAATTGCTCCTATGAGTATAAATGTGTGTAAATGTGGAAGCCCTGTGTTGGCCCTGTTCACAGCCAGGTGCAGTCTGTTTGGGCACAACGTATCTATATAGGCCTATTGTGTTACCGCATTAGCTTTAATGTTGCTCCAAACTGTATATTTTACTATATCCTGGTAGACACATTCCCACTTGGCTGCGGTGTTTGTGCTTAGCTAATCAAAGACCGTGTCTTTGGAACAACTGCATCAGGAGGGATGTTTCATAAAATATTCAAACCTTTTGTTAGAAATTCTTGGTGGAAGGAGACAACAAACAGAATTTGTCAAAGTTTTTTTTTTTGTTCACCGTGTTTGACTGATCTCCGAGCACATTCAGTCCACAAACTGCCACCTAAAATGGACCAAACATAACAAAACGTGTGTCTCTTCAGGGGATTACTCTGGTTTGAAGATGATTTGGAAATTGGAGCTTTGTGTTGAATGTCTGAGAGCAGACAGGTGAAGTGTTTTTATCAGTTGCAACTTTTAATATAAAATTATCTGTGATTGGATCCCCTGGACACCGAACAAGTTCTTATACACGGGTCTAAATGAGTAATAAATGAGGTACACGGGTTGTGTGTACACAATCATGGCGCTCCCTTTGGGTAAATTCCACTTTATCTCCATCTAATTTTTCCTGAGTGTCGGGAGGCTGGAAATGTCTGASGGCTTGCTCTGAAGGTGAAAGTGTGTCAGTCTAGTTTTCTGTTGGTCTTTGTCATATTAATTACACACACCAGTTCCTGTGTGCGTGAGGCATGTGTCATTCTTAAAGCTGATTAAAAGCCTCTATATACTCCCTCCAAACTGCAGAAATTGACTCTCATTGTCGTAGTTGCATGACGAAAATCGCATCGTTTTGTTCGCAGCTTGGAGTCTTCCACCTCTTCTTGTCACAAACCGTCCGAAGAACTTTTCACTTCCCTCTGCTTAAGAACTTACACTGTCATTGGTCAGAAGTTTGTGGAAGTGGTGGTTAATGCTGAAAGTGTTCAGACTTTGATTTTTCCTTCAATTACGTGACTATTGTACCTGGAAGCAGATAAAGACAGTCAAACAGCCAAAAACTTATGGATGGAGATAAAACATCAAAGTTGTGTTGTATCAATGCGCGCAATGGTTTTCATTTTAGTGCAATTTCATTGTCCTTAGTTTCAGATGCCATGTTTGAGTTCAGCTGTACTATTAGTTGAAATATGTTTGCACCGTGACGTTTCTGGTTTTATTGTTATTTGTTTGTATGTCTTRCAGTCGCTGCACTTATGCCCGCAACAAGTTTCCCTTAAGGGACAATAAATTATATCTTATGTTATCTTAAAACAGATTTTGTACATGGAGGAGTCTGTCTAACAAAAASTCTGGAGTTATAACTGGGACAGWTTTGTGGACAAATGTCAACAGATATTGGATTTTGGTTTTCCCCTCGTGCAGTGASGTATACCGCAGTGGGAGGGGTTTAACAGGACTATCTCAAGGGCTATGAAAGGTGTGTGCAAAAAGGAACATGGAAACAACCACGTGATCACGCGGTAATCACGTGGTTGAACTGATGTCTGTCTTGTGGTGTGTATAGCGAGCYTAAAGATTGCTACTAGGGGTAAACCAAAAAAAATCTATTTACGACAGTTCAGAATCGATTTAAAATCCAGTGGCAATCACTGTCAGCCTGCATTTTGTAACTACATCCCCACTCAGCCGATTCTGGAAGGTATGCATGCGCAGAAAGCACCAAAACAAAGAAAAAAACTGCAGAATTGCAGAGAGATTCAACCGGACCCGTCTTCATTGAAGGCAAAGATTTTGGCTCATTTTGGTTTTACTGAATGAGTTTGAGTTGGACATGAGCTACACTGTGTGCAAAGTTTGCAAAAATAAGATGAAGCACTTTGGGATTACGACAATGTCCAGGCTCACATTATCAGTTTCGAATAAAAAATTGATTTTAAATCGATTTCGTGGCCTCAAAACTCATAATCATGAGATGGTAATGCCCATTTTTCAGTAGTGCCACTTAGAGTAGTGTCGGAACGGTCAGTGTCGGAACGGGTCGGTTCGGTTGCTTTTCCATTGACGTTCGAGTCCAGTTCCAGTGGGTGTGTTTTGGGCGGTTGGTGGAGGTTGTTTTTGGGGTTTTCGAAAAAAGTTAATGCGCAAAATGAGAGATGGAAACACATTTGCCGAAAAAGTTCTGAAATTTTAAAAATTTGAATTAAACTTGGATGGAAACATGACTAATGTCACTACAATTGGAAAAAATGGCGCCTCGAGTTGTTGTAAAGGCAGCTCAGATGCAACCAATGACTCCACCCCCTAGCCAATCAGTGACAAACAGTGTTCTGACGTCGCATTTTGGTGTCGACTGAGACCACTCGGAACCATAATGAAGTAGGTACTAAAATAAGGGCTGGTTCCATGAATCTGGCCTAATGGAAATGGCTTGGAACCGTACCAAACCGTACCGACAATAAACTAAGTGGCACTATTGGAAAAGGAGCTTAAGATTCCCACTCTTACTTGCTTATCTGGGGCCAAGACACGACCCTCATGCAGTCTCTCTTAAGGTGAGAAGCAGCCAACATGTTCGTTTATTTGTTTTAAACAGTCTTACAAAGCTTGTGTTTTGCACACAGTCATGTTTTTAACTTGTTCTCGAGGCGACTCCATAAATTACTGATTATCCTGGTTCTGAGAGAGCAGCTGCATTCCCTTTCATCTCAGAGTGTCAGCTGACTCGCGTGTTTCTTTAAACATGCAGATCATTTCACTCAATGCTTGTGTTGCACACTCAGCTTTGGATCACTACAGGAGACAAATCACCGAGTATTTGTGACCGAAATAGCAAACAAAGCTCAACTGTTGCTTTTATGTGTCGTTTATTTTAAGCCTCCTTTCAGCTCGCAGCGATGCGCCGTAGACCCTGAGTGCGCATCGCTTTTAAAATAGCTTTGGACTTTCCTATAATCTGTTTGCTGTGTTTATTTCTTCTTACCTGGAACATATGTGTGTGTTTGCTTCAGCAGGATGTACTGCCTGCTACTTTCACCCGTCAGACTGTCAGGAGAGCACACGGCCTCCGGTCAGCAGCCCACTCCACACTCTTCACCCAGCCTACCAGCACCCTGTCTCCACAGGTTAGTGTTTCTGCATGTCTGGATGTGTGCAGCTTTAGGAAAACACAAAAATGACTCCTTTAAGTCTTTAGGTTTTTGATTTGTAAGCTGCCTAACAACCCTAAAGAATCCATGCTCCCACTGACGTGTGGTTATTCTTTGTTAATATCTGCCTCGTTGACAATCGACAACTAGGAGCTTCAGCTTTGTCAGCTTTTTCGGACATCTTAATCCCCTGCTGCACTTGTCAAAGTCCTTCGTAAAGGTCAGTTTGGAAAATGTTTCATCATTATAAGGTCAACATTTAGATTGGAGTTGGATCGATGGGTATCGACCACCTGGATATCCGAACCCGTGTCTTTTATTGGTATGTCGCCAGCTGTTTTGAGTACTTTGCTTTAGTGTGGTCATTTAAAGGCTGCTGAAACGTGTAAAAGTCTGTAAGTTATGACTGGAGGATCAGCACTGTTGCGATGTTTCTCAGCCTGAGGCGTCTGAGCGTGAGAGACGGCTCTGAGGTCCTGCAGGGCCACGGCTCACTGTTACCACTTTGTCCTTTGTCTCGTCTTCCAACTCAGAAAAAAAAAAAACACAAAAAAGAAAAAAACGTCAGACCGCAGCTTGGTATTCCTGTGAGTAACAGCCACCCAAATCCAATAAAGCAGACGCATTACGATGAAAAGATCAGCTCAAGGTCAGGAGTGTGCATTTTTCCTCCAGGAAATGCACTCGGCCCACCGACCAACTTACACTGGATGAAACTTTTATGATGAGAACAGGATATTTGCTCAATGAGTGCTCGCTGTCCGTGCTCTGTGGATTAGCGGGGCATTATCTCGCCGCCTCCTCCCGTCTGCGTGTTTGTGCTGTTGTTGGGCTGTACGTCTGGTGTTTGAGCTGCGTGTACCTATGTGTCATTGGGTTTTGTGAAACAGAGAGTCAGAGTGGGGTTTGCGCAGGGCGTGGGCGGCTTCCCTCGGACTGTGTTTACATTTTCCTGCTCGGAGAGGCTTCGGGAGGGGGAGGATGGTGAGTGAGGACACTGGGAATGTATACGTTACATCCGCTGTTCGATAGTAAAAACACCCGCTATGGGTTGAAGGTCTTGTTCACAAGTGAATGAAGCAGCAGAGAGTCGATAGTCCTGAGYGTGAATYYTTGTGTTTCCTCCTGAGAGAGCTGTTTGTTCAGGGGGCAGGAGGGGCTCAGCAGGGAGTTAGTGCCTTCACAGGTCTTCTTGCTTCTTCAGGCTGAGGATGATACTGTCATAACAAGAGATAGACTAAACATTTGTTCTGTTGGAGGAGCCTGTAAACATATATTACTTTATTATTACCTCCGCCAAGGAGGTRATGTTTTCGGTCGCGTATGTCCATCTGTCTGTCATTCTGTCTGTGGACAACATTACTCAAAAACTTKTGGACTGATTGTCATGACATTTTTACCACATGTGGATACTGGGCCAAATAACACACCTTTACATTTTGGTGATGTTCCAGATCACGTTGCGGATACAGGAATTTTTTTCTTTTAATCCTCCGAGATTGGCAAAGCTGTGATGCTTTCACAGGGCTTCTGTAAAAAAACAGTGAGCTGGATTGGACAGCACGGACTTCAAACTTTATAAAAGTAATGTTAAAACCAGATTTAATGATGAATAATTTTTTGCCATAATATGCACATTTACAGAACGTTTTGTGACCAGGAAGTGCGCGACTGCACCATGAAACCTATTTTTCCCCATTTCCTCAAACACACCACATTTCCGAAACAACCAATCAAAACAGTTTGTCTCTACTAGGCTTGTAAACAGAGAGCTACCGGGCCTCAAAGTTTGGAGACGGGGGGAGCCAGGAAGCACTTTATAAAGAGAGTCAAACCATTACAAACTCATACAAGGGGATAAAACAGATGTTTTACATGGTGAAATGTGACTGATGAAAACTTAGGAGCTTAATCCMACACCAGTTTGACCATGAATAACGTCAGGTGACGAGTCTGACATTTTTTTTCCACATTGGACTCCACCAAGAAGAAATCCCGTGCATACTGCCTGTTTAAATGTTTGCTACATTAGAACTTATTCGGCGAATGTGTTTCCATCTCTGCTTTTGCGCATTAACTCTTACAGGAGGGGGAAATTGGTCTTGGCGGAGGTTTGCACTCTCCGARTGCTTCTTGTCTGATATGTGTTCTGTGCTGTTAACACTTTCCCCTGTATCAGTTTTTTTTTCTATACGCCCTGCTCTTGTGCTCCTGCATTGCTGCAGTGAAGTACGCTTGTCTCCTCCCTGCCAAAGCCGACAGCCCGCTCCCTTCCCTCCTTCTGCCACTTTCTTGGCATCCTTCGGTTTAGCTGCAGCTCCTCGCGGGGTCTGACGGGTCACGGCTCCGTGCAGCACCGTTCGAGCACGGACTCCTCGATTCAGCCCGCGACTCGTCCCCCTCCTCGAGGGCAGCCGGGACTCTYGTCAAATGTCAAAACCTGCCAGAAATCTAAACGAGGAGGAAGCTGTTCCTTTGAGCTGGGCCGCTTSTCACTTCAACCAGACTGGCGTGAGTTTGCAGGAAGATTGACTGAAGATAAGATAGGTGGTGCGTGAAAAGGTCCGGTCAATGAGAGGCAGCCGATAAAGACGTTGTGTGAGAGAAGCAGAGTGAGAGCGGCGTTTTCATCTGCAGTAGCTGTTGAGCAGGTCACACAAGTCAGGCACTCTGATTTACATCTTCTACCAACCCTGCGTGTGTCGCACGGGTGTCTCTTTTTCCTCAAACACCTCTCTTATTACATTTCAAAGAAGGTAGAAATTGCTTTACAGGGTTCATTCCTGTCTTATCTCTGTTTGGAGGAACATTGCCAGTAATCTAGAATTGGGCGATTTTGCGTTGTTCCGTCTCTGCAGGTGGTTGTGTTGCAACAACGTAATGACAGTTTTACACAGCGAGCTCAACGTGCAGTCTTGCATCAGTGTTGGGGGCGAATYGTCTGTGAGTGAAATCAATGGCAGGTGTGTTTTTATGAAGAGCGTCACAAGAACAGTTTGTCTGACACTGACCTGTTCTCGCAGAACTAACAGTGTTGTTCTTTCTCTCTTCTGTCTCAGACATTTGTTTCATTATGAAGCACAAGTAACTGTATTTATAGCGCACCCCCCCCCCCCCCCCCCCACTCTCTTTTAATATTTCAAGCTCTTCTCCTTTTATGGCATGAAGTCACAAAGTGTTTGTGCAATGGCATTTAGATTGTAAACTCTGTGGAGGAACAAACCAGATGCAGACAGTGGGAGTTAAAGCTATTACAATCTAATCGGTTGTTACTTTTCACTGCGGCGAGAAACTTCTTAACAAGTTCTAAAAGAAACTGGACGCTCAGCTTTCCTATGTTCTTGTATGTTATCTGGGTTTTTGTCAGAGATCGACTGATACGGGTTTTATTTTGACAACCAATCCCCGAAATGTGTGATTTGTTTGCCAATTCTTGAAGCTGATTGCTTTTTCTTTCTCCATTTATGTGACAAAAATAACACAGTAATTGTTACACAAGTCTTAATTTAAACAAAAAAGGAAGAATTTATTAACAAAACATATTAACAGTGGATAACAATGTAGAACATTTAAATATATGTAACTAGGGATGCACAATATATCAACATATCGGTATCAGCTAATATAGGTCATTTTTTAGAATATCTGTCCGTTATGTAAAACTGGGCTGATATTAACGTCCGATATTGACTTCCCACTTTTTAGTTTTGTGTTTCTGTTTTTGGAGGCGAAATGTTTGGTCGAGTGGTATCTGTTTGATCGTGATAGTGATATTGTTGCTGTTCAGCCAGGAATAACTGAAGTAAGGAGTCATGTCAGAGGTCTGGTCGTTTTAATTACAATATCAAAAAAAGACACGTGTGAAGGGATTTATTAGTTAGTTAGATACTGATTTAAAGCACCACACCATTTGTCTTTGTTTCCTTTTTAAGGCTTGACTTTTATAATCTATTGTTTGACTATTGTAATGTCCTGATTAAAATAGCTTTAGGTACATGCCCAAAACATCATGACAACACATAGAAATACCGTTATAAATTCATTAGGAAAGATATTTTCTGTATGAGTTGTCTGCATTTCAGCCGTAGGCCTGTAGAGGGCGTACCAGGCACTGAAGATCCCTGTATAAAAATACCGGAACTTTCGGTTTCAGGCAGCGCTGCTCTGCTTGCTTCAGCGTAAGCAATAAAACTCTGCTCATTAACCAGATCTGGGGTTGTATGGTTCCAAAACTCTTCACATTTTAATCTATTCAATATTTATGTGGTTTCGTCTCGATTTCAGTTAATGAACACTAAATTTTCTTACAAGTGTTTCTGTGTATTTGTATATAAATAATTTGTTTAATTTGTGTAATATCGGTAAATATCGGTTATCGGCCATAACGGCAATAATTGTATCGGATATCGATATCGGTGCATTCCTATAACAGTAAAAACAACAATTAATTATTTGTATCAGCAAATAATTGCACGTATCAGCTGATGCCGATACAAGAAAAATACACAAATATTGGCCAAAAATATCCGCTGAGCTCTAGTTTTTGTCTAACTCCTTGTTTGTAACATTCCTTGAAACAATGCACATTTCCCTCTACCTCGCCTGCCCAAGTTTTAAGTAAAGGTTTTGCGCAATCTGTGGTTGAAGTTTGTGTTGGGGACGACTCTCAGCTACTACCACCCCAGATTTTACTTTAACAAATATAAAACTGACTGAGCTATAACCATTTTTTGTGTTTGAAAGATTGCATACCATCTTGATCCAAGAGTTATTCAGTCGTAGATAAGCATCCAGTGATTGCTTTCTAAGAGTTTAATTAAAAATTCATCTTGTGTTTTTTTTTTTTTGGCTAAAAAAGTCATCTTGTGATTCGTGAAAGATTTTGCTAACAGACAAACACAAGCACACACGGATAATTACTCGTGAAAACCCACCTTTCATGGCGACAAGCCATAAAAAACTAACTACTGTAACTT